TAACATGTGACTACTTGATCTCTTCCAGCTTCCTGGGGTTGAGGCCTGTGAAAATTACGCTTTCCGATACGGCCGCAACCCTTTAATGGAACTTCCTCTTGCCATCAACCCCACGGGCTGTGCCCGTGCCGAGCCTAAAATGAGTACCCATGTCAAGAGGTTTGTGTTAAGGTATTTTGTTTTAATTTCACATAGTACAGCCCAGGGTTTCTAGGCCGCCTAGGGTTATTTGTGCTTTTGTCTGCTGCTTACAAACCCTGTTGTCTTTGGCTGTGTACGTGCATGCCCGAACAAAGGGGAGCGCTTTGTTGTCTACGCTAGCTGGCTTTAAGTGTGTGTTTGTCTGAAAGAAATTTTAATGCAATTTGATTTGTGGTTGTATTCAGAGAAATCTTCAGTTTGTCTTGTATTCTTTCCTGTTATATGCCCAACTCCCACAGGCCTCACACCTTGAATAGCACCAGCACATCCAAGTCATTTCAGAGCACAGTTACAGGAGAGCTGAATGCGCCTTACAGTAAGCAGTTTGTCCATTCCAAGTCCTCTCAGTACCGGAAGATGAAGACAGAATGGAAGTCCAACGTGTATCTGGCTCGCTCTCGGATTCAGGTCAGTCGCAACATCACTTCATTTTTCAAATGCATCAGAACGTATTTGATCTTGTAAACATTTCCCTGAAGGGTGCACGTAGCATGTGTATGGTGAACTGTTTCTGCAGACGGTCTATAACAGATTTGCTTTTCGTTTAATTTTTGATGCACTATCTTGGAAAATTGAATTCCAATATTTTCTCTCTGGGCCCACTTAACTACTTTCTCAAAAGAGTTGCAGTTTAGAAACTAAAATATCTGGAGTCTTTCAAGCAGCAGCGATGGAAACATCATGGGCATATCAAGTAGTGATTTTTGGGCCCAGGTAATTTGGAGGTCTGACCAAAAAGATGGGTGACTAGGATGTTGAGTAAAATATTTTTTCATATTGATAAAATTAAGTGGTTAATTTATTGGCTTAGGGGGCATCCTGCCAAGTGTTTTCAACTCCTTGAAATGTGTTGCAAAATCTGTATGCTATGCCTTGTACGTAGGTGCTGTATATGCTAAATTGGACTGTGAACAGATATTTAAGTGATTAAAGTACTACCACATCTATTGGAGCTCATAGACGGCACTA